CAGATTCACTGAAGCTTTCTTTACAACAGCAAAGAGCCAGAAACAATCCTAGTGGTGCGGGAATGGCTGAGAGACTGTGGTGTGTCCACACAACGGCGCGTCCACGTGGAGAATTCGTGAAATCGGTACGGCACAGATGAATTTAGAACACATTATGTGGCGAGGCATGGGTCAGTCATAAAAGGGCAATTATGGGAAAAGACCACAATCATACAGAGCCAAGCAAAGGTTTATATACAGAAAATAAGCAGAAGGTGAGGGAAGAAAAAGTGAGTAAAAATACGTAGACAAGTTGGCTGAAGGGAAAAGCAACATAGATAAGGGTTCAATTAGACATTGTGATACGTCTTTCTAAACTCACGCGGTCATTGCATCTCGGCGCTCAAGCTTTTTCTGACAAAAGGACAAATCTCATCATCTTGAGAACCCCTCTACATTCACTCATTAGCAATTCATTGAACATCTAAGTCCATGGCAGTGAACTAGACACACAATGTCGCCGCTAACACAGAGATGACCGCACAGACAATGAAGAAACAGTTCCAGACAGCGATGAAAAATAAGCCAGGAGGCGGGACGAGCGGTGACGCTGGGGAAGTGTCTGCTTCCACAGACATCTTCCTACATCACGTTCTCATTCTAGCAGAGAAGTCCCGTCGTTCACACGGTACCACAGAGCCTTGCTGCAAGAAACAGAATTCCTCATCTCCTCCTCCGCCGGGTCCCCAGACGGCCAATCCTCCTTCCTAGTGTGTCTTAATGTGATGGTCCTTTCAGTCACCTGCTGTGCATGTGAGAGCTGGACATGAGTAAGGACAATGGAAGAACTGGTGCCTCTGAGCTGTGCTGTTGGAGAAGAGCCCTGAACGTCCCATGGATGAACCCACAGGTGTGTCTTAGAGAGGGGCAGGTAGAGAGCTCTTTGGAGGAAAAGAGGATGAGGCTTCGCCTGACATACTAGGGCATGTTGCCAGGAGGTGCTATTCCTTGGAGAGGGACATGATGCTTAGAAAGGCAGAGGGTTGACGAAGGAGGGCAAGACCCTTGACCAGGTGGGCTGACACAGTGACTGCCGTGATGGGCTCTCATGTGTCAGGAAGTGTGAGGATGACACAGGACAGGACAGAGTTTAGATCTGTTGTTCACAGGGTCGCCATGGGTCATACTCAACAACACCTAACAACAACAGTGACAAGTCTCAGATCAGGCCACTGGTGGCACTCTCAGAGGCAGCCTCCCTAAAGTGACATTTTCACAAAGAAGTGAATGACAAGTAAAAGGTCCAGAAAGAACCTTGGAGGCCGAGGGAGTGTCAGTCAAGGCTCTAAAGACAGGAGTGAGATCAGGGAGGGGGGCCCTCAGTGTGAAGAGCCATCAGGAGTAAAGGCGATGGCCTGAGGAATGGAGGAATGATGTCACCTGTCTCGGCTTCCAAGGTCATAATGCATGGTGGGTGTGGACAAGATAAAACGGAAGAGACTGGGCGACAATGTGGTTTGTATGGGTGGGGGGTTTAGCAGTGACAAAATCCTGCCATCAGGACACACAGCAGCCAGACCTGTGGACAGGTTGGAAAGGGAGGTGGAAAGCTCCGATCTGGGGGCACTAGGTGAGATGAAGACGAGGTAAGTGCTGCAGGTACCTCCTAGTCTCACTTGCACGGCCTCTGAATGCCCTCCTATTCGCTGGTGCGTGCTGTTGCGTCTGAAGGGCCTCCTCACTGAGCTGCCGGCTGGTTTTCAGGGGGTGTAATCGCTTTGGGGTGACAAGGCAGAAGCCTTTTAAAATACTTCAATCTTAAAACTAATACTTATCACAATATTATAGTGGAAACACCAGAAAATTTGACAAAATCAGCGACTATAAAAACAGCAGCAGAAAAAAGGCAGATGCCTGGTACCTGGATGATGATCTGAACACATTACAGGGTTCAGAAAGTAAATTTGCACCATGCTTTAGCCTGTGGGGCTACTGATTGCCCATGAACTCATTTAGTTATTTTTTTTTATTTGAGTGAAAATTTAGAAATCATATTGGTTTTTCAATCATTAACATATGTTTTATAACATTATTTAAAATTGACTAATAGAATGTAAAGGGATTCTCAAGATGACAAAATTTGTCCTTCTGTCAGAAAAAAGGTTGAGGACTGAGATGTAATGACTACGTGAGTTTAGAAATATTTACTGAAGTGCAATGATGTCACTCTGGAGACTAAGGTGAGCCTGGTACAGGCCATGGTCTTTGCAATCACTTGTTATGCATCAGAGAGCTGGACAATGACTAGGGAGGACAGAAGGAGAATTGATGCCTTTGAGCTGTGGTGCTGGAGAAGAGTATTGAATATACCATGGACTGCTAAGAAAATGAACAGGTTTGTCCTTGAGAGGGTGAAGCTGGGCTGCTCCTTGGAGGCAAGGATTCTGAGGCTTCACCTGACATACTTTGGACATGTTGTAAGGTGGGACTAGTCCTTGGAGAGGGACATCATGCTTGGGAGGGTGGAGGGACAGCGCAGGAGAGGAAGGCCCTCAATGAGATGGATCGATTCAGTGACTGTGGTAATGGGGGCAGATGTGTCAGAGACAGTGAGATTGGCACAGGACAGGACAGAGTTTAGGGCTGTTGTACATAGTGTCGCTACAAGTTGCAGGCAACTCGATGGCACATAACAAGAACAATCACAACTCTGAGTAATAAGTTATTTGTGGTTAAGGGGGGGGGAAAGGCTTTGGCCCAGTTAGTATTGATGTTCTGCCTATTAATGTTATAATTCAACACAGAATTGTTTTACAAGATGATTTTGTTGTTAGTATTCCTGTAATCTAGGGATCTCTGGTGGCCTCATGGTAAGGAATTGTGCTGCCAAAGCAAAGGTATGTGGTTCAAATCCACAGTTGCTCCGTGGGAGATAGGTGGACAGTCTCCTCCGTGAGATTTGATGGCTCTGAAAACCTTGTAGAGGGTCAGCCGTGGAGGGTTCGGGCTCCATAGTACACAGTTCAGGTCATCTAAGACCAAGCAATCTATCTGCAATTGTGCTTTATTGTAGTGCATTATTCGATGATTAAACCTGATAATAACACTACCAAGGATGTGGTGTCTTAGGAGTTCTGGTGGTGCGGCATGCTATATATATTGTGCTACTAATCCAAAGGTCAGTGGTTTGACCCCACTGGCTGACCACAGCAGGCAACACTGACCCCCACAGTGCCTCTCCCCCACCGCCAGGCAGTTCCCACATTCAGGGGGCGGAGGAGGATCTCAAGGCAGAGGAAAGTGAAAAGGACCCCAAAATAGATCATCCTGCACCCATTTTACAAACAAGGAAACTGAGGCTCATAAGGTTAAGTCCACTTTCTAAGCTCACAGCCGTCTTGAGGATGAGCAAGTCCAGGCGATGCTGGACTGCTGCCCACTCACACGGCCTTGAGGCCAGCAGACCCAGTCCTGCCCCTGGACGCTCAGCCAGTCACCGGCCAGGACCCCGGGACCCACTGCACTGCCCAAGTGGCACCACCAGGGGGCGAGGCGACAAAGCCGGCCGGACTCAGAAGAGCTGGGTCAGGGCCATGCGGACGCCCCGGTCCAGGTAACCTCATCCTGGCGTCCTTGGTTCTGCCCAGGTGAACGCGGCCTCAGACACCGCTATCAGCTCACCGCGGTTTTAATGGACCAGATCTTATGAAGGGGTAATGAGCCCACTCCATCGCGCATTCCTTCCTGCCAGCTAGGGACGTTGTGGTACCCCCACACCCACCCGCCTCCCTAGCCGTCACCAGCCAGGCGGAACTCTCTGGAGCAGGACCCAGAGGGACCCAGTCCCAGCGCCACAGCTTCTAACCATCTCCGGGCCTCCACCTGACCTTCTATCCAATGGGACAACATCTGTGCCCGCCGCACAGGGAAACCGGGGGGCAGAGGGGTAAAGACCCCAATGACAGGCTGACAGAGGCTGCAGCAGCAGGCAGGGCCCAGTCTATGTCACCTGACTCACTGGGAGCAGGAACAGACGGACCCCAAGACACGTAACAATGACCATCAAGCACCCGGGCAGCCAGCACCAAGCCAAGGCCACCACACGGTGCACGAAGGTAAAATTCTGTGTCTGCATGACGTCGGCCATGACAATCGACACCACTGTTTGATTAAAACACAAAGGACATGGCAAGAAGCTGCACTGAAATCCCAGAGGCACCTGGTTCAAATCCACCAGATGCTCTGCTGGAGAAGGAGGGACAATCTCCTGTACCAGTCCGATCCGACTTGATGGTACACAAATAAAAAATATTAAAATAAAATTTTTTTAAACGTAAAAAAAAACAAACCACAAAGGACAGCAAGGGCAGGCCGCTGGACATCAGGGATGGCTTCCTGGGTGCTCAGCAGCTGATAAGCTTAGTGGAACCCCAGTTCAGCACTGTTGGAGTGCCCACCTCTGCAGACCATCACGTGATACTCAGGGTCATGTGATGCCGCGGCCCGCTCGCCCTCAGGACCCAGGGAGCCAAGCGGGGCAGATGTCAGCCCGTGTCAGCAAGCAGGCCATGTGTGGGCACTGTGCCCTAGAGCAGAACAAGCACCACCAGCTCCCCGGGCCACATTCCCCTCCCAACAGGCAGGACAGGCCACGGCCAGCTCGGGCTCCTACCCTGGTGCGCTGGCCACGTACTTGCATGGTGCAGAGGGACCTCAGAACCAGGCTGGACAGTGTGGCAAGTCTGGGTCTCAGTCACCCCCATGAGTCCTCAGACTGCTCCAAGCCTCCAAGAATTCCCAAGGGGCTTGAGGTGACTGTAACTCCTGGTGCTGTCCCCAAGGTGGCAGTACCCAGTGCCCAGGACCCCTGAGCCTGCAGCTCAGCCTTGGTCTCAGTGGGCAGCCCCTGGTCTCCATAGGATGGCCAGCGAGTTGAAGGACAGACCTCCTCAATGCCCTGTCCCCCAAGGCCAGGCCCGTGGTCCACCCTGGCATGCATGTCTGATGGTCACGTGACTCACCTGCTTTCACTTTCCAGAAACACAGAGCTGCTGCTCTGGGCGAGAGCAGCGCTGACCGGTGACAGGCAGAAGGGCGAGGAGAAGGCGTCCGAGTCCGAATCGAAGGAGCTGGCCCTGCTCACGCCCTCGGCCGACAGCTCCAGCGAGCCCTCCTCCTCCCCAGCCTCAGCCCGCTGCTCCCGGCCTTCGAGCATCCCGTCCTGCGAGCTGGCCGTGGACAGGGTGCCTGAGTCGCTTCTGGGGGGCAGTGAGGCCGGGGGGGTGCCGTCCACACCCATGGCCAGGCCTGGCTTCTCCCCATCCTCTGACGTGGGGCTGCCCAGCCCAGCACAGGGGGTGCTCTGGGAGGCCACCAGGACATTCTCATCTTTGGGGGTCAGGGCCAGCCTGGGCTCTGTGGGGGAGGCCTGGAGGGGCAGCCCTGAGCTCTGGGTGCGCCGGGCACGTGAGCGGGGGCCCTTGCGCACAGGGGAGCTCTCGGGGGTGATGTAGCGTAATGCCTCCTCGTCCTGCCTCTGGATCCGAGAATTGGGGACCCACGCGAGGATGAGGGTGGCTCCCAGCAGCTCGTCCTTCTCCACATACAGGCACAGGTACCCTGTCAGGGCGGGCAAGGGGTGAGCGTGGTGCACGGGGACACAGGGTGCAGATGGCACATGGGGTGAGGGTGGGCATGGGATGAGGGCAGTGCATGCTGGCATGGGGTAAGGACAGTGTGAGGACAGCACAGGTGGGCACAGGGTGAGTGCGGACATGAGGTGAGGGCAGTGCATGCTGGCACTGGGTGAGGGACAGGCATGGGGTGAGAATAGCACATGGAGTGAGGGCCAGGCACGGGGTGAGGTACAGGGTGAGGACGTTACATGCTGGCATGGAGTGAGGGCTGAGTATGGGGTGAGGATAGCACATGAAGTGATGGCCGGGCATGGGGCAAGGGCCGGGCATGGTGTGAGGGACGGGCATGGGGTGAGAATAGCACATGGGGTGAGGGCCAGGCATGGGGTGAGGGCTGGGTACGGGGTGAGGGCGGTACATGCTGGCATGGAGTGAGAGCTGAGCACAGGGTGAGGATAGCACATGAAGTGAGGGCTGCGCACTGGGTGAGGGCTGGGCACAGGTGTTGGGTGTGTACAGGGTGAGGGCCAGACACAGTATAAGGATGGCACACAGGGTGAGGGCCAGGCCTGGGGTGATGGACAGGCCTGGGGTGATGGACAGGCACGGGGTGAGGGCTGGGCACGGGGTGAAGGGAGTGCAGGAACCCAGTAGGAGCATGAGTTCAGATGGAGAAAGTCCATTTCCCAGGGGTAGTGGGTCACCAGCCAGCCCTCTGGTGTCCCGCCACTTCTCCCCCGCACCCCTACAAGCTACATGGTTCCATGTCCCTCAGCTCACCCTGCAGGAGCCAGAAGTTCCCACTCCTTCACAAGCTAGGAAATGAGTGCCATGCATGGACATGGGGCCGGACCTCTAGGACCACCTTCATCCAGACCCCACTTGGGAAGGTACCCTGCTCGCCCAGCCCCTGCAGCCCTGCAGGTAGGACCCCCGCTCACCTGGGTGGTGCTCGCCCAGCCCCTGCAGCCCCTCAGGTGGGTGCACACAGACATTGTTCTTGGAGTAGATGATGTCCCCGTCCAGGATGGAAGGCGTCCCGCCGTAGCTGCTGCCCGGGGAGAGTGTCAGGAGGTCCGAGGCTTTGGAGGAGGCCCGGCGGAGGAGACGGCCCAGAGACATCGCCGGGGGGGTGTTTCCATTGTCATTCCAGGTGGGGCTCGTCAGGACCTGAGGCGGACAGAGAGGAGATGCACTGAGGTCCAGGGCCACCAACTCAGGGTGCACGAGCTGGTGCCGAGTGCAAGACACCAGCAGGCACTCGCCAGAGGGTCTCCCGAGTGTAGCCATGCCCTGGGCCCAAAGTCTTGGAGAGGGGAGCAGGAGGCTGTCCCCACATCACAGGAGGATATTTAGCTGCATCCTTGTACCTGCTGATAGAGGCCGTCCGTCATATCACCACCTCCTTGTGACGGTCAACTGGGTAACTGATGCCCCAAGGGTCACCCCTCACTGAGAACCCCTGGGCTGGAGGAAGGAACACTGTCCCCACTTGCGCTGTCCTGTGTTGCTGCTGTTGGCTCGAGATCCCCTTACGCTAACAGAACACTGTCCAGTCCTTCGCACCACACACCCACACCCTCCCACCTCCCTGTCAGCTTTTGACTGTCCATGCAACAAACCCTGCCTTCCCCGGCGTCTCCCTCCGCTGTGCCAGATGGGGAATGTTCCTGAACCCTTCACAGCGCCACATCCTTCTCCCACCCACCCTGTGTGCTCTCTGCCCCTCAGTGGTCAGCCTTGGTGTCCCAACTCACAGACCCCTGACTCATAACTACCTAGGACTCAAGTTAACATGTAATTCTGTTAAAAAGTCAATTAGAAGCAGAGGATTAAAATGCACAATGGATCAAGAACGCCTACAAATTATCCACCAAAGAGAGCAAGAGATGAGTGGGAGCGTCACAGAAGAAAAGAAGCGGTAAGAAGTTAATAAACATTAGAAAGATGCCCAGCAATCTGAGAAAAATGAGAACAGATGGGCAGAACCAAGCCAAAACAAAGACTGTGAATCGTGCAAGCATCACGTGGCCGAGAGGATGTAGACGAACGCACGCCTGCTGGCTCGGGGGCAGGAACATCGGCTGCCTGATCTGAGGATGCCCAGCCCAGGAAGCCCACCTCAGGAAACAGGCAGAGGGTCGTTCGAGCTGCACGCTGTGGCCCCACCATGAGCCATGACGTCACCGTGGACCAGCTGCTGAGGATTGAACTCCGTAAGTGATGCTTAAGGTGAACTTGTGCACCTGTGACGATGACTCGCCCGAGAGGGCTTTCTCTTGATACACGGGAGTCCCAGGTGGTGCAAACTGATAAACTCTTGATCGTTAACTGAAAGGATGAAACTTCAAAGCCGTGAAGAAGTGCTTTGGAGGGGAGGCCTGGCAATGTGCTTCCAAGGGACCAAAGCCACGCGTGGAAGCTGCCGGAACAAGGCTCTGCTTGGCGTGGGGTGTCGTAGAAACACACTTTCTCTCTTTCGAAAGGCGAGGGGTCAGTTGACCTCATGACTGCCCCCTTCCACTGATATTCAAGGCTGTAAATTATACAGGAGGAGACGCCCCACCCCTCTCCCTAGGGGCCTTGGGCAGATTTGAACCTCCAAAGAGGAGCAGTCTCTGGGTCAGCCTCACAGCCCCCTACAGATCACTCCACAGAGCCAAGCAGAGGAAGAAGAAGGAACACGTGCAACACTTTGGGGTCATGGTCAGGTGCCGTGTGCAACAGCAGGACGGACCCACCACATTGGGAAGGAACTGTTGTCACCACATCAACAAAATAAAAAATTGACAATGTGTTTTATTTACACCAGTGATCCAGAAATGCTATCGTCTCAGTAGGCAATCAATATGAAAGATCAATAATGTGTGTTTCTCTTCCTTCATCTCCCAAGGTCAGCCTGCCTGCAGCCCCCTAGCCTGTGGACCAGCCATGCCAGGGTGTGCCATGGCCATGTGACCCGTGGTCACCATCCTAAGTCATCTCCAAGCTGGCTGGAGCCCTTCACCACTTGGGCCTAAAAGGCACCATTTCAAGCAATCACCTTAATCACCAGACGTGGCTGCAAGCAAAGTTCAGTGGCTGGCCCCCCCCCCAAGTCAGAGCCACCCTGAAGATGTTCAACCACCACTGGAAAGAATCCAAGGAATGTGTGGAAGTTCTGAGGGACGTGCAGAAATCATCCCCTAGACCACGAGCGTGAAATCCTCAAGGCCCCCTGTCGAGTCTTGTAGCCGAGCCAAGCTCACTCCCCACAGGAAGCATCGTGAGATATGAAGAGAAGATTGGAGTTGTCAAGGATTTCATTTCACTGGGATCGATAATCTATACCCTTGGAAGCAGCAGCCAAGAAACCAGATGACGTATTGCGATGGGGCATCTGCTGCCAAGGACCTCTCTGAATGGTGAAAGAGCACAGATGTCACTGTAAAGGTTGAGGTGCATCTGAGAAAAGGCATGGGATTTTCAATTGCTCCATCTAACTAGCCCCTGTTTCGATTCCAGCAGGACAATGAGTAAGGAAAACCGAAGAAGAGCCAATGGCCTTGAACGACGGTGCTGGCAGAGAACGTTGAATCTGTCCTGGGCCGCCAAATTTCAAACAAGCCTGACTTGGAACAAGTGCGGCCCGAGTGCTCCTTGGAAGCGAGGACGGCGAGCTGCTCCTCAAGCTCTGCGGACACGTTACCAGGAGGGCCAGTCCCTGGGAAGGACCTTGTCCAGTTTAGCTAAGCTTAGAGATGGCGGGGGGTGTTTAAACACAGACCCACCTGTCTTGATGGCTCATCCCCTGTGTCCTTCACAGGGTTTCTCCCCTCCATTCAGGCCAGATGAGAAGTGGCTCGAATCCGCGCACTGTTTACGTCCGCCAGCTCAGGGTAGGGGCCCCACTTGAAGCATCCTTCCCCAGCCCCCCAACTACAACATCTCAGCCTTGTGAGGTGCAGGAGCCATCTCTTCCACAGAAAGAGGGGTGCACAGTCAGGAGAGGGCTGAGCTCCCCACTCCAATCAGTGTTCACTTGGAGAGTGGCCAGTGACCCCCTGGGACTGAGGGTGACAGAGGGACGTGGTGCTGGAGAGCCTTTTAGGGGGTGTCTGAGCTGAGCCTGGGCTGTGGATCAGCATAGGCGCCCAAATGGAAGAAAGGTTTAGCCAAGAATGTCATCTGGCACAGTGACCACCAAGCAGGCAAGTAAGTGGTCAGACTCATGTAGGGAGCCTTAGAAACACAGAGGCCAAGTCCTAGAACCTATGACCCAGTAGGTAAGGAGGGGACATGCTCCCAGGAGAGCCTGTCACCAGCCAATATCGAACCCCTCACCCATGGCGTCACCCCAACAGATCAAGACCCTTGAGTGAAGTCAAGACTGAGACCTCTGATCTGAGACCCCTCCCCCAGCCAAGATAGTGGTCCATTGCTTTACTGTCCCCCCCCAGCTAAGACTGGGGAGCACGGGACTGCTGCCACGCCCCAGGGAGGAGGACCACAAAGGTGTAGATTGATGACCCATCACCCGCTGGATACTCCTTGAACTTCAAGGGAAGAAAGGGCCAGTGAAGTGGGTCCAGGGCTGCAGACACCCCCCTGCCGTGCATCCATCTATCACCAGGTGACGAGCGCTCAGCCAGGTGTCACCAGGACAGCAAAACATGCACTGAGGTCCAGAGCTGCCCCTGCAGGATCTGAGGAGCTGATCCCCAAAATTCCCCTACAGAGACCCCAGGAGCCCACCATCTGGGCCCCCACGAAATGCCTAGTCCTGGGCTCAGCCACCCCATGCATCTCATCACATGCCATTGTCCCTTCCCTCAGATGCGTCTCTGTGGACAGGGGACCATGCTGACCAGGGATGGCCAATCCCTGGCATCACATGGTCCATGCCCCTCCCCTCTTTTAAAGCCCCGAGACCAGACCCCCCCATGGTAGAGCAGGTCCTCTGGGACTACCATGTACATCACCTCTTAGATTTCCAGATGTAGGCGATCACTGTCTCCCAACCTGTTTCAGGAAGCTGGCCTTCACCAAGGTGACATGGCCAGGGTCAAGGAAATGGCAGGCCTGGACATCAGCCCAGACACCTGCTGTGGACAGAGAAGGAAATGCTTTCACAAGCTTAAGGAGGGTCACTGGGACATCATCAGCCTGGACGAGGCACAGGTGAGGTGGGGTGGAGCAGGGGGGCAGCTCCGATCAGGTGAAGCACAGGTGAGGTGGGGTAGAGCAGGGGGGGCAGCTCCGATCAGGTGAGGTGGGGTGGAGTAGGAAGTATCTCTGGTCAGATAAGGCACAAGTGAAGTGGGGCGGGGTAGGGGGCATCTCTGATCAGGTGAGACAGAAGTGGGGTTTGGTGGGGTAGGGGGCATCTCTGATCAGGTGAGGCACAGGTGAGGTAGGTGCAGTGAAGATGGTGATAGGGGAACATCTTTGACCAGGTGCAGTACAGGTAAGGTATGCTGCCAGGTTTTTCATAATGACCAGCACGCAGCAACCTCCTCTCCACTTCTGGCTCGCCTGTCCATCTCTCTGTCCATCCTGAGGTTTTTGGCCTGATTTCAGAACTGAAGGAGGGTGAGGTTGGCTCAGCTCTCCGAGGGTCCTGGGCAAAATGAGACCCAATACCCATCTCCACACAGCTGGTTCAACCCAGTCACCACGTGTCCCTGTGACAAATGTGGGTTTATCTGGATCCCAGGACAGGAAGCACACGGACACGCACACACGTGTCCATGCACATGGATATGCACATGGACATGGCTGTCGTTCCAGCCCACCTCAGTGTCAGCCTGTCTAAGCCCAGCCCTATCCAGGATGCAACGCAAAGAAGGATGCCTGGTCCCCCACAGATCAGCCCGCAGGGTCAGTGGGTTTTAGCCAGTTCCTATTTCTATTGTTCATTTAGTTACTAATTAGAAGGACAAAGTCACTTCTGTTCATGCTCAAGGGCTTCCTTGCTGAACTCCTAGCCCCTCCCCCAGAACAGCCCCGAACACGCACCTTTGCACACTGAAGGGGGAGGCTGGAAGGGCCCTAGAGGGGTGCTGCATAGAGGGTGCAGGATGGACTTCAGATGCCAGAAGGGACAGTTCCATACCCTCACAACAGTCAGCATCTCAGAGGAA